AATAGAATAGAATAGAATAGAATAGAATAGAATAGAATAGAATAGAATAGAATAGAATTCTTTATTGGCCAAGTGTGATTTGACAAGGAATTTGTCTGTGGTGCGTATGCTCTCAGTGTACTTAAAGAAAAAATAAAATACATTCATCAAGAATCACAAGACACAACACTTAGTGATAGTCGCAGGTTACTAATAAGCAAGCAAATCATACTAGGAAACAAATAAAACAATATAAATTGAAAAGATACAAGGAACAAAGTTATAGTTATAAGTGGGAGGAGTTAGGTAATAGGAAGGATGAGAAGAATAATAGTAATACAGTCTTAGTAAATAGTAAATATCCATCTATTTATCCATCTAGATATCTACCCATCTATCTATCTATCCCTCCATCTATCCCTCCATCCCTCCAACCATCTATCCATCTAATTCCAAAATTAGATTAGGTACTGTATTTTATGGATTAGGTAACAGAGTTAGAAGGGGCCTTGGAGGTCTTCTAGTCCAACCGCTGCTCAAGCAGGAAACCCTATACCATTTCAGGCAGGTGATTGTCCAATCTCTTTTTAAAAACCTCCAATGTTCAGCATCCACAACTTCTGGAGGCAAGATGTTCCACTGAATAATTGTTCTAACTATCAGGAAATTTCTCCTTAGTTCTAAGTTGCTTCTCTCCTTGATTAGTTTCCACCCATTGCTTCTTGTCCTTCCCTTGGGTGCTTTGGAGAACAAATTGACCTCCTCTGCTTTGTGGCACCCCCACAAATATTGAAACACTGCTGTCATGTCACCCCCAAGTCCTTCTTTTCACTAGACTAGACATACCCAATTCCTGCAACCGTTCTTCCTGTGTTTTAGCTTCCAGTTGTGGTTGCTAAATGAGAACTACCTATAAGTAGCCCTAATGCAAATGAGTTTCCATGGTAGATCCTGCCTTGGTAGAGGATTCCTTTAACTGGAGTGGGATTCCTTTAACAAGGCTTCAGTTGAGATGCGCAAGGAGCATAACCAGGGTCAATCAATCAACGTTTCAGAACAAATCAGGTGAACTTTAAAGCCTTGGCCAAACGACACAACACCTGATTCTTCCTCCGAAGGTCACCGGTTTCTCCAGTTCAATGAGGGAGATATCGTAGTCATAGAATTCTTGGATGCCCTGGGCCGTCTTAGCTCGAATGTTGTATAATTCATGGTCAATCCGTCTCTTTATTCCTAGCCTGATTTCTCCACCTGCCAAGGGGAGAGAAAAAAAAAATCAGAGATCCTCAATTTTCTTTTTCTACTGTAAAAGATTGCATCAAGGGGCCCTTGGTGCTCTCTGAGCCTGGTTGTTTATCAGCGCTGAACTATTGTGCTTCCCCGAAAGTAAGACCCTGTCTTATAATTTTTTGCCACCAAAAAGGCACCAGGTCTTATTTTCGGGGGATGTCATCCACTGACTAACCTCACTTGCACCTGTTGCCCCCGGCCTCCTTTTTGCAGTCAGAGGCCTTCAGGAACTTCTTCTTCTGTGGCCGGCAAGGCTTCCCTGAAGGCCTCCGCAGCTGATCACAGAGCTCCAGATTGATCCAGAGCTTTGTTATCAGCTACAGAGGCCTTTTACCAGCCTTGCTGTCTGCAGAAGAAATGGGCCGGCAAGGCAGTGGTCGGGGTATGCGAGGCCTGGCTACCCTCTCTCCCCCACCCTAGCTTAATTTTTACCCGTCCACTCTGGAGTGGGTGGGATCTTAATTAGGGCTTATTTTGGAGGTAGGGCACGCATGTAAAAATCAAGCTAGGACTTATTTTCAGGGCAGGTCGTATTTTGGGGGAAACCGGGTACTTGTTATTGACTAACAGTACTTGTTACCTTGTTTCATTTGGGTAATGGAATGTCTGCAAGGAAAAGGTCTGTAGAGATTTTCAGTCCTATAGGTCATGGTTGTCCCAGAGGTGCTTTTTTCACAAGGCAACTGGATTATCTTGTTTTTTTCTTTTGAAGATGTTTCGTTTCTCATCCAAGAAGCTTCTTCAGGATTTCTATTCCTTGCAGAATGGAATGATTTATATTCCTCGTCTGCAAGGAATAATAAATCCTTCCATTCCCCGCTATCCTGTCCGAGCTGAAGAAGCTTCTTGGATGAGAAGCGAAACGCCTTCAAAAGAAAAGAAAAAAGCAAGAAAGTCCAGTTGCCTCCTGAAAAAAAAGCACCTTTGGGTTTGCAAGAAAACAACCGAGCTCAGAGAGCAACAAGGACCCTTCCTTTTTAAGCCAGGTAGAACGGCCTCGTTTTTGACATTTCTGGAGATGATGTGAAGACAGTCAGCATCAAACTGCCGGGTCACAAAAATATCTCAATCTTCCAATAGAAGAGCATACCGATAGCTCAGAATTAAACTATGGGTCAAGAGCCTGGTTGTTTCCTTGCAGACATTGCAGTACCCAACTAGGAATCATCATCAGTGTCAATTGATGATGATATTACTGATGAAGGTGCCCAGGTGGGTCATGAAACATCTGCAGAGCACCTGCCACCTCACAGAGCATCAAGTGCTCCACATATCTCAGCCTTTTTCATAGGACGGAGATCCCTCCATGGTCCATACTTTGTGTACAATAGGCGCAAGACTCGTATTCCTTGTCAGGAATGTCAGCTAACAAAAGAGATCAAACCTTTGAGCTGATGGGCCAAAGTTGGACTACTCACAGCACTGCAGCCAACTTGTACTGATCAGAGGCCAAGCTCCACATTTCATTTTTTTTTTTTAAAAAACAAGTTTTATTAAAAGTTTCAACAACAAACAAATCATTACATATTAAATCTTTCCCTGTCTTTCTACAATAATTTCCCCAATATTCTCATAAAACACAAACAAACACAAACAAACATAAAAAAAAATCTTTTAGTAAAGTACCTTGGCCCCAGTTACCTCTCTTTGCATGGGCTAAAATAATAGCACATATCACTCTTCACATTTCTATCTTATTTAATCCATCTTAATTAAATCATTAAATTTGTATCTTTTGCCCATTCATTTATCCCTCTATCTCTTCTTATAATAAAAAAAATTTCTCCTGAAATCACTAATCAGAGTATGATGCCTTTCTATCCTCCCCCTAAGTTAGTAAAATTAACATTCAGCATAACAAATACCCAATTTGGTTCTGCTTGGTACATTCTATCCACCAAAAATGTTTAAATACATTGTATCCTCCTTTCCTTCGATATTTTATTACATTTTAAAAATCAATCATTATTAAAAACTTCAACATTTTAATTTCTTATTAAATCTTAAACCATTCTAATTTACTATTTCAAATATAAATGTTACAATACCATCTTCTGTACCTTAGCAGAATCTTTCTTACAGAAAATTATATTTCATCCTTTGTCTCTAAAAAAAATCCCTCTTCTCCCATCCAATTTTAAAGCTTTGAGGCTTTTCTCCGCCTTTCCCCTTTCTTTCTTCCCCCACCAAATCTTCCTACCCCACCTTCTTCTTCTAACCTCTGCCTTGCTGGGATCCCTTCTCTGTTGTGTTCCCTTTTTCTCTTGTTTGTTATCATTATATTTACTTTGCATCATATTTTTCTCTTTCTCAAATGTTTTTTTAGATCTTAAGTCCTTCATTTTCCTTGCTCTCTTCCTTCCTTCTTCCTTAGATAAGTTTTGGGATTCAATGAAGATGGCGTCTTCGTCTCTTCCTTGTTGTTCTTCTTCCGTTTCCATCTGTTCCATTGTCTGTTGGTAATTGACCAGCGCCATTTCTAGAAATAGAAAAGCTTTTTCCATGCCATCTTTGCAGGCTGCTTTTGTTTGCTCATATTCATCCCTCAGGTCTTCAAAAAGGAAAGCCATTATAAATAAATCTTTTCTTTTCTTTATTCCTCTTTCTTCTTACACCAACCAAATATTCCGAGAGAAAGGCAAAAACAATCCCAAAATCCACAATCCTCAATAAATCCAAGCAAGCCAAAATTCCCCCTTCCTCTTCCAGGGGTGGTATCAAACAAATAAAAAAAAAGAATCCAAGTCTATATTTTAAAGCCTTATTAAGATTGTATTTCTGTCCTCAAGTCTTCAAGGCATCTCCTCCAACAAGATCCAAATTTATATATTTTCTTTATCCTCTCCCTTCCAGCTTAATTCCGTCGGGAGGGAGAGTAAACTTTCCCTTCAGCACCTCAAAATAGCCGCTTTTTTTTCTCTTGTGGAAGAAATCATCAGAAAACCATCTTTTCCAGGAATTAAATTAGATAAATCTCAAAGCCCTGGGTCGACCAAGAAGAACTTTCACTTTCAATAACTTTCTCTTCTTCCTCCTGCGCATACTTGCCCGGCTGTCAACTTCTTTGTGGCGGCCATTGCGGACCGCCGCTGCACCGTCCTGGTAACAGGGGGTTCTGCCGGCCAGGGAGGGGGTCTGCAACACCCCCAAACCCTTCCTCCGGATCCCCCTTACCTTCAGCTACCCCTGCAGGGCAGCCTTGCTCCGCACCCGTCCGGGTCGGAGCCCCAAAACGGCTAGCGCGGCAGGGATCGCGCAGCTTCGCGAATCCCTACCGCTCGCGAAGCCGACAAACCGGAAACAAGCTCCACATTTCAATTAATGCAGATATATACCTGTTCGTTACCAAATGTTGGTTACTCTGTCCATCTTTTGTCTCCCATCCCTTGGTGAAGCAGAGCCGTGATCCCAGAAACTGCAGTTTTGACTCTTAAGTGAAAAAATATCAACCCTTTCCTCACTCTCTACATGTACCATGTGTTTGTGTAAACGGTATTGCATGTTATTAAACCATGGTTAAAAGCATGGTGGCCATCTTGTAGAAAGAAGGGTCATTAGATGATCTCTGAGATCTCTTCCAACATTAAGCCATCATTATGATGGTTTAATGTTGGCATCTCATAGGTCATCTACAAGATGGCCACCACTTGTCCTTTGAGGTAGATCAGGTGAGGAAGAAGACATTGGAAGAATCCAGGAATGCTACTTTATCACTGTAAAGCGCTGTTTTCAACTTTGGCAACTTTAAGATGGCTGTCCCAAAGGTGCTTTTTTTCACGAGGCAACTGGACTTCCTGTTTTTTCTTTGAAGACTTTTAATCCAAGCTGAAGAAGCTTCTTGGATCGGATGAGAAGTGAAACGTCTTCAAAGAAAAACCAGAAAGTCCAGTTGCCTCGTGAAAAAAAGCAACCATGACCTGGATGACTGAGAATCTCCCTAGGCATTTAAGATGGCTGGACTTCAACTTACCCACAATTCCCCAGCCAGCAGGTATGGGGAATGCTGGCATACTGGCTGGAGAATTCTGGGAATTGAAGTCCGCCCATCTTAAAGTGCCAAGTTTGAAAAAAAATCCCGTTGCGGAATATAATCACAGAATCTTGAAAGCCCTTGCCATTTCTTATATGAAAACACAACCACACTGAGGTTATTCCCTTCTCACGTCTCCCCTTCTCCCAGGACTGAGTTTGCCTTTAATATTTTTCCCTTGAGGCTCCCACCTACTTTCATCAAGGTGTTCTCCACCTGTTTCCCTCCCCCTCTCCCTCTCCCTCCTCCCTCCCCCCCCATATGTGAACAAAACTAAAAAAAATGAAACTGAGGGAAGACCTTGAAACACGTAGGGCAGGGGTCCCCAACCACCGGTCCGTGGACCGGTACCGGTCCGTGGAGCACTCTGTACCGGGCCGCAAAGAAATTTTTTTTAAAAAAATGGCGGCTTTCTTCGCCTTCAGTGAATGCTGCTGGGATCGGGGATCAAGGACAGAAATGAAAGAAGGGGAGGGAGGAAGCAACCGAAGCCTGTCCTGCTCTCCGACTCAGCGGCTTCGGTTTCCTCCCGCCTCGTTCCTCTCTCAGTCGCTCTCTCGCTCCTCCACCAGCCCAGGAAGAAACTGCTTCAAAGGAGCCGGCAGGGTGGCTTTTCCTGTCGGCGCAGCTCCCCCGAAGCGCCCGTTCACCCCCACCCCGCCGCCAATCAATCCAGGTTCAATCCAGTGCTCCGTTCTGCCTGCCTGCCTGCCTTCGTTTGTTTCGGAGCAGCTTCGGCTGAGAATAATAACTATTCGCCTCTTTTTATCAGCCGAAGCTGCTCAGAAACAACCAGAAACGCAGGCAGGCAGGCAGGCAGAACGGAGCACTGGATTGAACCGCGGGCGGGCGGGCGGAGTGGGGGTGGGGGTGAACGGGCGCTTCGGAGGAGCTGCGGCGACAGGAAAAGCCACCCCACCCCACCCCACCCCTGGCTTCTTTGAAGCAGTTTCTTCCTGGGCTGGATGTTAGAGGTCCATCGTAGCTCTGAATGATCCCTAAACAAGGACTACAGGAGCTTCCTAGGGAAAACACACTGACTAAATGCTCCTCATTCAATTCCTGTTTTCACCAAACAGAGATAAGAGAAACATCTGCATGAAATTTTGTAGCTACACAGCTGGGCAAGACCTAGAACTAGAGAGACCGCAGTCAGGTGTCTTTAATGCTAGTTGTAGGGCAAACATAAAGTTTTGGGAATGGAAAATAGAATCTCCCCCCCCCCCCCCCGCACCCGCCGGTCCTTGAAAAAGTGTTTCTGCTTGAAACTGGTCCCTGGTACAAAAAAGGTTGGGGACCACTGACGTAGGGTATACGTTCTGAAGAAAACCAATACCTTCCCCCAAGATACCGTCATTCATCTCCTGCCCAACCGAACAGGAAATAATGCACTAGGAGCCTTGTTGAATCAGGCAGGGATAAACATTCAAATGGACTTTGCCACAAGGAAGCAACTACTCATTTATAATGACCATTCCCTTTTTCTATTGGCATGTAAGCCCTTCCCCACTAGGGTTGAGGTTACACCAGGTCTTTGCAGGATGAGATGTATCAGAAATGTAGAAGGTGGGGAGGAGGACAGGATTCTGGTGGTGTTATGAGGTAAAAAGGGCCTTAAGGTTTGAATCAAGCCACCCAGTGTCATTTTGGATTGTGAGAGGGATGGCATATAAGCTTAATAAACAAACCAAGTAACCCAATTCTAAAAAAAAAAAAAAAAGAAGTGGGTTGGTATGGAATAGTTGATCCTATCTACTCTAGGTTCCAAGGCCTGCAGAATACAGGTGCTCCTCGAATTACAACCAGGTGTGGTATTCAGCAGGTTCTGACCAGTTCTGGAGAACCGGTAGTGGAAATTTTGAGTAGTTCGGAGAGCCGGCAAATCCCACCTCTGACTGGCCCCTCCAACCCCATCTCTTCTCTGCCTCCCATTGAGTCTCACCTGATCAGCTGGGTCTTCTTTTGTTGCCCTGCACAGGAGAACGGAGCTGGAAAGCAGGTTAGTGGGTGCAGAGGGAATGGGGATTTTGCAGTATCCTTCCCCTGCCACGCCCACCAAGCCACGCTATGCCCAGCAAGCCACGCCCACAGAACCAGAAGTAAAAAATTTTGAATATCGCCACTGAAGGGCACTGGAAAAAGTGACATATGGCCGGGGGTTTTTTACATTTACAGCCATTGCAAGCAACCTTCATTCTTACATGATCAAAATTCAGGTGCTTGGCAACTGACTCATATTTATGACGGTTGCAGCATCTTGGGGCTGTGAACTTCTGACAGACGAAATCAATGCGGAAGCTAGATTCACTTAAAGAACCTAACAACTGCAGCGATTCACTTAACAACAGTGACAAGAACGGTTGTAAAACGGGACAAATTTCGCTTTAACAACTGTCTTAGCTCGCTTAGCGACATAATTTAGGGGCTCCGTTGCAATTGTAAGTCGTGGACTACCTATATAGGATGAAAGGCTGAATGTGATGCATGAGCCTGTTCTATCCCCAACTAAATGCAGGAAAATAATGTCTCAGAAATCACTGAAGAAGGGAAGACCCCGGAACTATGCTGGAACCACGATAGAATGCATGCTTTTTTTTAAAAAAAAATGTAGTATCTTACCCAGAACCACGATCCAATTATTTTTCCAGTGGTTGAAGCAGTGAGCCGCTGTTAGAACCCAGGTATTGGAAATCAAGGCACCTCGGCAAGTAGAATCCCTATGATGCTAGAACAAAAATTAAATTCAGTGTTAAGGTTAACACCCCAGAATTATGTTCTAGGTCAGGGGTGTCAAACTCAATTTAATTGAGGGCTGCATCTGAGTTGTGTTTGACCTCGGGGGGGCAGGGGCGTGGCCAGGGGGCGTGGCCAGCTTGACTCATGAAGGCTGTTTTCGCCCGCGATGGCCTGCCCAAACTCTGTTTTCTCGCTGAGACAGGGCTGCAGGAGGCCGTTGCAGCCAAAAACAGAGCCCGGGCGGACCACGCGCAGCCTCCCCGAGCTCCCCTTTTGCTGGTAGAGGGTTTCAGGAGGCTGTCATGGCCGAAAACGGAGCACTGGTGGGCCGTGTGTGACCCTCCCAAGCTCCATTTTCACTGGGGCCAGTTCTTTGTTGTTTCCAGGACAGGCATGGGGGTCAGATTTAGGCATTCCCTGGGCCGGATCCGGCCCATAGGCCTTGAGTTTGACACCCCTGTTCTAGGTCATCCTTCCTTGACTGAGGGGCTCTCTATATTCCCATCCTTTAACCATCCAACAGAACCAAATATCGGGGATAAAGCAAGTTAATTGCAAGTGAGGACCAGTGGCGGGATTCAAATTGTTTTACCATCGATGCGGTAGGCGTGGCTTGGTGGGCGTGCTTTGCGTGCACCTGGCACGCATGCGTGGCAAATGCGCGCTTTGCATATGTGCAGAGGCTTTCCTACTGACCTCCTCCTGCACTCCTGCACTCTCCCTGTGTCTTCAACAGCTGACGCGCGGCAATCCACTGTGCCGCGTGATGCAGCTGAGGTTGAAAAGCAGGAAATAAAGGTCAGTATGGAGCCCAGGCAGGCGGGCAGGCCCAGCAGCTGATCGTCGGAGCGAACCAGTTCGCTCTCAGATGATCTTCGGAGGTACCGGTTCAGCTGAACCAGACCGGACCGGTAGAATCCACCCTTTCTGTAAACCCCTACAGAAATCTGGGAAGAGAAAGAGATCACAATGACTTGGGCAGTGGTGGTGGAAAAGAAGAGTCTGTACTCACTGTGTTTTGGAGACGCACATGCCAAGGGTTCTTCTGGTCCCATCTTGCACTGTCCGAGTAGTTTGCCAAACCACAAATGTCCTCCAAATCTCTAGGATCTAAGACGGTTAGAAAGTTAATGAATCTGGGAGAAAACTGATCATCATCAATCTTGCCATTTGCCACCCTCAGTTGCGTGTTCTTTCCACACATATGTCTGTGGAGATTTTCAGTCATCCAGGTTTGACCCAAAGGTACTTTTTCAAAACACAATAATTGGACTTGTTTTTCCTTGAAAACGTTTTGCTTCTCATCTAAGAAGCTTCTTCAGTTCTGACTGAGTAGTGGAGGAGGGAAGGATTTATACTGACTGCAAGGAATATCAATCCTTTCCTCCTCCACCATTCGGTCAGAACTGAAGAAGCTTCTTGGATGAGAAGCGAAACATCTTCAAGGAAAAACAAGAAAGTCCAGTTGCCTCCTGAAAAAAGCACCTTTCTACATAGAAAATTTCAAGGTCTATCCATCAGCTTTGGAAGCCATATCAGCACCAGAAGCTTCCACGCTGCCACATTCTTGAACCTGGGAAAATTAGAGGGGAGAATTGCATGGAACGTATGTGGTTAGGCATAATAGCATTCTTCTTTAAAGTCAAGGTCATGTTATTCCTGCACCTGGCTGAGGAAGAGGGGATGTCTCAAGTTGGAACGGATGGTGATTGAGGCATGTGATGGAATGATGGGTGCAGGGGGTGGATTTATAATTTTTTATTTATTGGAGGAAAACCCGGAACTTTTCCGGTTCTGGTTTTCCCAGATGTGTCAGTATAACTACTCTAATAAAAAGGAAACTTTGAGAAAATGCCTATCTCAGAGTTTATAATTGGAGTTGGGTTTTTCTGGAATCCTGACACTATCACTCTTTCAGCAGACACAATATGACTTCTGTCCAAAGGCCCCCACTGCCTTTGTTTAGTGGCAAAATTTCTCATGTTACCAGAAACAAGGTTCTGAGATTAGTTTTGGATGTGGGAAAATCAACACCCTTTTATGTCAATGCTTTGCTTTGTGTGTGTGTGCATTTGTGTATATGCATGCCTTTGAGTCAGTGTCAATGCCTGCAATGCCCTGGGCTAGTCTTTGCAGATTTGCTAGCAAGGTTTTTCGGAATTATTTGCCACTGACAGCTTCTCAGGGCCAAGAGAAAGTGACCGGCCCAAGCTACCCAGCTGGCTTCGTGCCCAAGATGAAACTAAAACTAGTCTTCTAGTTTCTAGCCTGGTGCCTTAACCAGTGCACCAGACTGCCTCTCTTATTTCACATGGTTTCATTTCTATTTCGTTCTGGATCTTATTACCTGCTTTGCATAAATAAAATGATTCAAAATAGGGAAACAAATATTGAACCATCTACAACTCAACAAATAGAAAAAACAAAAAATGAGGCAGAGGTTACACAAGAAGGACTGTTCACATACAGGCTGGAACTATCTACAAGTAACAATAGCGCTTAGACTTATATACCGCTTCACAGTGCTTTACAGCCCTCTGCCCTCTCTAAGCAGTTTACAGAATTAGCATATTGCCCCCTCCCCCCCCAATAATCTGGATCCTCCTTTTACTGACCTCAGAAGGATGGAAAGCTGAGTCAACCTTGAACTGGTCAGAATCGAACTGCTGTCAGTGGGCAGTGTTAGCCTGCAATGCATTCTAACCACTGCACCAATGTGGCTCTTCAGTCCTCATAACTATACATTTAGCAACCATTTGAAGTTACAATGAAGCTGAATTTTAATGTTAATATTTACTACCTTAATATTTTAATGTTTGATCTTGTTTTTATTTTGTTTACAGCAAAGTTTACTGTAAGCCGCCTGGAGTCACCTCTGAGTGAGATGGGCAGCATGTATATATTCCCACAGGCATAAGGCGCAAGCTGAACATTGGGGAGATGCACCCACCCTTTGCCCCTTTAACCCTTGCACCCCCAACCCTAGTAAACAAGATGGATCCTACACACCCAACAGATCTTCAAAAGCATTCTTGAGTTCCTGTGGATTTTCCATCACAAAGACATGCCTTTCCCCTGGCTTCTTTGACGCAATCTCATTCATGGCACTCAACTCAACGTCAAGGTTCCCGATGCCAAAAACATAGATATCTGAATGAAAAAACAACAGGACATGCATTGATGATGTTACCTAGTTGGGTAATGAAATGTCTGCAAGGAAACAACCAAGGGCTCTTCAAAAGGACATATGTTAACATGGGACATTCTGGAAGAGAAGACAGGACAGCCCCCAGATCTTATCAAGGGATTCTTTCACAGATTTATCAAGCCAGTTAAGTAGCAAGGATGACCAGGCTGGATGCACTGAAAGCCATATGAAATAAGAAAAATAAGAGCTTGTCAATCATTTTGAGGTAAACTAAGCAGATAGGAGATTTCCAGCATACCTGAGATGAATCCAGCAGTGGGTTTTATGCTATATTCTAAGATCACCGAGAACATTTGCAGTGACTTAAAATGTTATTACTTTACTCTGTGGGTTGCCCAAGGAAAATACCTTCACTGAAATTACTTTTCCTGGAGAGATGCAGGAGTGATTGTATTTTCTATTTTCAATTATTGCTGCATGCCTGGCTTTCTAACAATTGCTCCTACTCTTTTCCAGCAGCAGCTTTTTTCCAATTGCTCTATTTTGGGCAGCCTCTTTAATCTGAGTTGTTTCTTCTATCTAGTATGTTAGTCATAGATGACTGCTAAATTCCCTAATTTAATAAACAAACAAATATTATAATATTTAAAATTAATAGCTGAATTAAATAAATAAATAAATAAATAAATAACTATTAAGATATTTAAATTAATAGCTGGACTAAATAATAAATAAATAAATATAAATAAATATTAAGATATTTAATAGCTGGACTAAACAATAATAAGTGCACCATCGTGCTTCCCGTCCCTGTCCTATTGTCCCCATTTAATCGTACCTATTTTCTGTATTCTTACTCATGTGTATACTTATACCTATTATCTTATAAGCGATTGACAAATCAAATCAAATAAATAAATAAAATATTAAGATATTTAATTTAATAACTGGAACAGTAAAGTGGGTAATGGGCCACAACACACAGTGGTAGTTGATTGGTTGGAGAGTACCAGCTCTTGCATGAGGCAATCTAGGTTATGATTGGTTGCTGGGTATAAAGGGGGAAGTTTTCCTTTTTCCCGCCTTTTTCTTCTGTGTGCCCTGTATGCTCTGTGCAGGGTTGCCATCTGGCCGTTTTTCCGGCTAAATTCGAGAAATCTGGCCGTATAGAAATCTGTTTGGCCGTGAAAAAAATCATGTCTCCAGCCAAAAATATTTGGCCGGAAATTTGGCCGTATGAAAGTTGCTTGGCCTTGAAATCGAAATTTTGGCCGAATACCGGTTTTCAATACAATATATTCGCATGAAAATGACTGTCAGATCATTTTTGTGTCATTTTATTTGTTTAGTGATTATATTTTTTCAATCGGGGGGGAAATCCCCCTAATAACCCTCATGCCCTAGCTCCCCCCTCCTCAGGATCGCTGCATTTGGCCCTGAGCTTTCCAAACAGTAGTAGCAGTTATTTGAAGTGAGCTGCCTAGCCTGGATGTGAGTAAAGAAACGCAGAAATTCCCATGACGTCACGTCACGTTGTCGAATAAAGACTATTTTTTATGATTTGATGATTTAAAAACAGTTAAAAAAAACAAAAAAAACAATATATCCTCATGTTATATTGCATAAAAAAATTTGGCCGGAAAATCTGGCCATGAGAGAAAATAATTTGGCTGAATTTGGCCTTATTTTGACTTGAGTTTGGCCGCAGAGCCAAGCTGCGATCTGGCAACCCTGGCTCTGTGATGCTCCTGTTTGCCTGACTATCTTGGCTGATATACATATACAGTAGATGTTAAATGTATTGATTTGTTTTAAAAAGCATAAGTTTGTGTCAGCATCTGTGACTTCATTTGGATACCTGCTGCTCAAATCCCTGACAATAAACAAAGAAAGCCTTTACATCTCTTGGAGAGCATTTAACTCCAGCTTTTCTTCTGACAGTGGAAAGCGAAAGTGAAAGTAAAGGATTTCTCCAGAAAGTTGTGTTTATAATGAAGGCTGATCTCAGCTTCTCATGATAACACTTGGATTTTGTGAGAGTGGAAAAATTGAGTGTGGTCAGGGTGAAGAGTTAACATTTGATTTATCTAGAAGCAGCAAACCCCAAAAACTTTAACCTTAGACTGTCTACTATTGACCTCACCCCTTTCCTAAGAGGCCTGTAGGGGGCGTGCATAAGCGCACCAACGTGCCTACCGTCCCTGTCCTATTGTTTCTCTTATTCTTTTATTTTTCTTATATGTACCCATTTCATGTATTCACAACTATGTATACATTTATACTTATTATCTTGTAAACAATTGGCAAATCAAATAAATAAATAAATAAAATAAATATGGAAGATAACCTGGGAAGAAAAGCATTTCAAGAGGTGAAAAAAAAATGATTTATTGAGGATTGCCTCATAGCAATCAGGGGAAATTAACTCTGGTAGGCTACAAAAACATTTATTTTGCTTCGTGTTGTGAACTCTAGGCCCCAACAACTAAGCTATACAGGTATTCCCTCTACTTATGATCAAAGCTATAACTGACCCAAAAAAGGCGGCTTATGACCCAGATTCAAAGTTCTGACAATCATAACCACTCGGAAGTCATGCGATGAAACTTTGGGCACTGGGCAATATGGTCATATATACAGCAAAGTCCTGCGGTCATGTGATCACACTTTATTACAATTTTGACTGGTGCTTACTTCTGGTTTTCAGCAAAACTGCACCCATAGTGAACCATTTCCTCACTTAAGGACCACAGCTTTTGCCTACTGACCATGGCATTGTGATGTCTCCCTTGGACGACTCCTGATTCTTCCTCGGAGGCTGGTTCGAGGGAGGATGAGCTCATTCCTGGCACGTCAGGAACTGGGTTAATTAATGACTCTGAACTGATGGCTGAAAGTGATTTACAGAGGCCTTCGGCTGGGGACAGTTTGCAGGTCAATGAAGAGGAGGAGGAGGAGTTGCCTTCCATGCTGGATCCAAGAGCACGCAGGGCAGAGAAAAGACAAGAGCAAAGGAGATCTGCCAGATTACTCAGGAGAAGGCCCTGCCCATCAAGCTATTTATCAGGCAGAGGGAGACATTGCTGGGAACAACGTGTTTGTTTTGTGGCTGTGTGTTTGTTCGTGCTTCCTGCTTGACTTTGTGCCTTGGAGACTCTCAACTTCTTTTGCCAAGTGAACTCTTGTGGATGTACTTTACGTTTTGCCTAGTGGCTTTAACTTTGTTTGGTGGACTTACTTGTTGGAGCAACTTTCCATTGTTTTATGGACTATTGGCTTTATTTTGGGAAATTCTGAGGCTGGGTGAAGGGAACTGCTGGAGAACCTTAATTAACTCTCCAAAACAGGGGTCTCCAACTTTGGCAACTTTACGACTTGTGGACTTCAACTCCCAGAATTCCTCAGCCAGTCCACAAGTCGTAAAATTTTGCCAAGATTGGAGACCACTGCTCTAAAACACACTTACATGTGTGTGTGAGTGAGTGGAGCAGGACAGGCATTTGCTTCACAACCACTGCAAAAAATTAGCCAGTCATGTGATCAATTCATTTTAGGATCATGATGGCATACAGTACGTCCATAATGGACAGGCTCCATTTCAGTCATATGTTGAGGATTGCCAGTAGTGGGTTTTCAATTGAGCAGAGAGATTCAGTCTGCTGTAGAAAAACAAGATTCTTGAGGGACGGGTTGGTATCGCAAAGTAACACAATTCATTCTTTTGAAAAAAATCAAGCATGGTTTTTCTGACTCACCGAGATAATCTTTTCGGTCGTCTCTCACATTTATCAGTTCTTCTATGTGGCGCACTGCCATTTTGGGAGAACCTCCAAGGTTGGATTTTCCTGAAAACAAAAAAAGAAAAAAAAATTAGAGGACAAAATCAGAGAGTAATTCCCAACTCATACAAGTGTGCCAAGAGGAATTGTGGAAAACTCAAGGATGATCATATTGAACTGGAGAGATTTAACCTGGAAATAAGGAGAAACTTTCTGACAGTGAGAACAATCAAGCAATGGAACAGCTTTGCCTTTGGAAGTTGTGGGAGCTTCATCACTGGAGGCTTTCAAGAAAGAGATTGGATTGCCATTTGTCAGAAATGGTGCAGGGTCTCCTGCTTGGGCAGGGGAGGGGGTGGTTGGAGTAGATGACCTACAAGGTCCCTTCTAACTCTGATGGTCTGTTATCTGGTGTAGTGTTCTTAAATGAAAAACAAAAATAGGCAAGCTGAGAAAAACAAAGACCTGGGCAGTCTGAAGACCACGACCAGGTACTAAAAACAAAGAGAGAATTTTTTTAAAAATCCCTTTGATTAATAGGCTGGAGCCTGGCTTTGAAACACTAAATTTCAGACTAAATCTCCATCTAGTAGAGGCTTTTGAAGGCCACAAGCAAAAGGGCTCCCATCATAGATGGTCGAAAGAGAAAACCAAGAGAGGGATGGTCCAAAGAGCTCGTTCTTAGAACAAGGATGGTGGAACTTTCTGTGCTTCAGAACTACATTCCCCCAAAAAATAAAATAAAAAAATGGGGCAGCTAATGTAACTTCTCACTTCTGGTCCCAAAGATGCTTTTCCAAAAGGCAACAGGGGCTTCCTTGGTTTGCTTCTTTGAAAATGTTTTGCTTCTCTTCCAAGAAACCTCTTCAGTTTTTCTTCAGTTAGAACTGAAGAAGCTTCTTGGGTGGGAAGCGAAACATTTTCAAAGGAAAAAAAAACACCAAGAAAATTCAATTGCCTATTGGAAAAGCACCTTGGGGACAGCCATGACCTGGATGAATGAGAATCTCCATAGACATTCTGACTTCTGTCACATTAAACCACACACATGCTTAAAACTGGGCAGCAATTTTTGAAACCACAGGGAGCAAACTCTTCTGTATATCGCTAGTTCAGGAGATGTTCTCGTCCTTTGGTTCCATTTGTGGCTTGTTGATTATCTCTTCTGAATGGTATGTAGATGTTTACCGTCTCTCCAGGTGCCTGTTGGTGGCTGATTTGTCTGAATGCCAGGCTTCCAGGAACTCTCTACTGGTTTTGGACTTGGCTTGGTCTGGGATGTTCACAGTGGAAACTATAGTTAATTTTGTGCCCGTGTTCTGCAATTAAGGAGTTTTCACCATATATTCTAATAGCTCGATACCTGTGTTTTGTTGGGAAACTATATGGTTGGGCTTAGTTTTGGGGGAGGAAAATAAGGGAGGAAATTGTGCCTCTGCCTACCAGCATCCACTGGTACTCATCTGGCCAGCGTCCTGTCAATGTGTGAGAGAGTTGAGGGCTGTTTGGAAACTGAAGCAGTATTTGCTTGTGAGAGCAAGAACGAGACAGCAAAGAGCCTGGGCGTGGCTTAGCTCAACTGTTCCGTACTAAAGCTGGTTGCTGATGTGAAACTAAAACTGAAAATCCTCTCCTCTGCTTGTGTTTTGCATTTGGAACAGATTTCTTCTCAGGTGAGGAAGGGGAGTAGAACTCCTTAGCATCAGAGCCTGTTAATAATAATATATGAAATACTAATGCTCTCATGGTCATTTAGAAAAATCCTTTCTTAGTGAGCACCTAGAAACCAAGAGGAACATACGTGCCAAATTTCAAGTTTGTACGCTTTATGGTTCTGGAGATTTTGTGATGATGTGTGTGGTATTTCATTTATAGATAGACAGATCGATCGATAGATCGATAGATATAGATATAGATATAGATATAGATGATATAGATATAGATATAGATATAGATATAGATTGCCAGTTGGTGTTCATGCATTTGCTCTTCTAGTCTCCTGCCTTTTTGTCCTATGTAGTGGTTGTTGCAATCTTTACACTGTATGCTATAGATCAGTGGCCCTCAATCTTTTGGGCACCCAGTTCTGTGGAGAGACTTTTGTCAGCGGACTGGAGCAGGCGTGGTTTCGCATGCTGCCTACATCCCACAGATGGGGCTTCGCTTGTTTTTGCGTGGCCCAGTTTCTGGCATGCCGCAGACCATTGCCGGTTCACGGACCAGGGATTGGGGACCCCTGCTGTAGATGACTCCTGTTTTTTTTCCTTCTGGGGCTGCTGGCTCTTTTGGTTTATTTAGCATGATTTTAGAAGGCTTTAGTTGGTTTGTGTGCTAACTGATGCCATCTGGTTACGATAGTCAGTTTGTGGTTTCCAACATGATTTTGATGCATGGAGGTGTGTGTTATTGTGCTGTCCAGACAGTATATAGGTAATAGGAATTGAGATAGTTAGCTAGGAATTGAGAGCTGTCCCCTTAAGGTAAATGTAGTTAAAGCATCCTGGGAAAAGTAGTCCATGTCATGTGGTCACATTTGTAATCCTGATTGGTCACTGAACTGACCCTTGGTGGGTTGGGGGAGGTTCCTTCACTCTTGCCTGAACCCCAGCAGCATGCTGGTGCCTCACCTCCTTGTTCCTTCATTATGGGGATGAAAAGATCACTATCCTTTTACACTATGAATTCAGCTATGCAAAGATTTGGACATTGAGATGAATCTCGACGTGACCGTGAGTTATATATGAGGATGCCTGATGAACCAATAAAGAAACTTTGTATGGATGCCTTTGTAGAGTTATCTGTCTGTCTTTACACATTCAGCCAGTAATGATAAAGGACAGAACAGTTATCCTTTTCACAGCTCACGTGATAAGAGCAACACAATGAGAGCAAACCCCACTGCCCCCCGTAGAAGTGATGATGTTATCTAGTCTGGGTAATGAACATCTGCAAGAAAACAACCAAACTCAGAGAGCAAACCTGAGCTACAAATATCCTCCTATATTGGTACAATAGCCATTGCTAGATAGTGAGCAATCTCCCCCCCACCCAAACACCCCCCCACACTTTCAATCACCCCATTTCTCCTTACCATCCGTAAGCAGAATGATAGCATGACGGACTTTGTTCCATTGATCTTTCAAAGTTGCTTCTTCATTAATTATCATCTCGTAAACCGCATTAAGGGCCGCATAAATGTTGGTTCCCGTTGCATTGCCATGATCTGCAAAATGGGCTCAATTAATCTTGAGAGATTCTTCTTAAACCTCAGTTTCTCTAAGGCTTGAGAGGCTTATACAGGTGGTCCTTGAACTTACAACAGTTCGTTTAGCGACTGTTCAAAGTTAAAACATCCCTGGAAAAAAAGTGGCTTAGGACAGTTTTTCACGCTTGCAATCATTACAGCGTCCCCATGGTCATGTGATCAAAATTCAGACACAGTGATGACCCGGGGCATGGCACAAAGGCAACACAGTCAGATAAGCAATAAGAGTCCCATTATTATCTCCAACTTTGCCCCCAAGGTCCAGGTTACCTTCGGGCTGGAGAAAAATTCTCCCGGGAACAGCCTTTGACTGTAGAAAATCCAGTCCAAAACAAGATACACACAAACTGCAACTTAAGATCCAAACAAACCAAACTGGGTTTGGCAGGGCAGGAGCAGGAATTTCAAACTTGAAAGTATGGCAAAACTCATACAGTTGGGAAGATGCCAGGAACACAGATAAGCCACAACAATAAAAGATAAAGTCATGCTTGCTCCCAACAGCTTGCTGCACGCAGCTTGCCTTTTTTCATACACTGTGTTCCCAGCTGCAGCTAATGAAGGGAATCAGGGCCCTTTCCTCCCCTGTAAGCCACGCAACCCACGTTGCTCTCTTCTCCGTTCCTTCCTGTGTGCCCTAGGATGAAGAGGGGGTAGGCCTGGGTCTTCCTCTGAACTCCCTCTCCCTTGTTCTTCCTCTTTCCTGCTCTGCCCAGCTGGACTTTGCCCTTCCCCAGTTTCTTTCACAGCCAATGGAGCCACACTCCCACTCCCTGTCAGCTCCTCCGAGTCAGATTCCAATATGGGCATGACAGACGCTTGACAACTGACTCATATTTATGACAGCTGCAGTGTCCTGGGGTCATGTGACCTACCTTTTGCAACCTTTTGACAAGCGAAGTCAATGGGGAAGCCAGACTCACTTAACGACCGTGTTACTAATTAAACAAGTGTAGCAATTCACTTAGCAACTGTGGCAAGAAAGATCGTAAAACGGGGCACAACTCAGTGTCTCACTTAGCAACAGAAATGTTGGGCTCACTTGTGGTTGTAAGTCAAGGATGACTTGTAAAGTAAGCTTACAAAAGAACAACAAACAGCACAACGCAGGAGGCGGTAAGAGGGAACTGCAGTAGATAACATTCTCCAAAGTTTTGTGGATTTTTTTCACTCGTGGGGAAAAAAAGAGTGGGAAGACCCCACCTGCCTGCATGAACATGGATGAAATGACTGCCGCTTTGAGATTCCAGTTCCACACCTACTTTATCAAATGTTGCTGTGGAGTTTTATTTTATTTATTTATTCAGCGTGTAGCATCTACAGAGGATGTGCTGTGGGGTGAGTGCTATCAAAAAAACCAAACAAACAAAAACAAAAATGAGAAAATACCATTGCAGGAAGAAATCATTAAGAAAATATTGGAATGTGCTGAAATGAGTAGATTGACATTTGAAATTAGAGAACAAGAGGATAAACAGTTTTATAAAATTTGGGACCTTTTCTATCAATGGTTGGATGATAAAATACAATAATAGAATATTTAGAATTTTAGATAATAATGAATATATAAAGAGATTTTTTTTTCTTTTTTATTTACTATCACATTTATAAAATGTCTTCAGGATAGATTTGGTATGATTATATGACTTGTTATAAAATAAATTAAGTAAATTATAGTAATCTCGTAAAGTATGAATGAATAAAATGATAGTCAAATGATTGTTGGATAGTGATACTAGGGTATATAATTTTTGATTGATAATATGAGTTATTATGTAATGTAACTGTAATTGAGACTGTTAGGGATAACATTGTTTTACCCTAACTGTTTTGGGTAAAGATAATAAAATGATGAATCATGGTTTGTCAGATAAAGTGTATGTGACTTTAAGCTAAAGGAATGTAATTAAGGGTGCAGCTGTAAAAGTACTATATAAGCAGCAAGGCACTCTCTGGCTTACTGATCCCTAATTACTGGCTGGCTTATTGAAAACTGCATTCTTGCTGGATCGGGGAGGAGAAGAAGTGTTGGATTACTTTGAAGATATTTCTCAACAGAGAGAAGATAAGTTTTGGACAGATTTATTATATGTGTACTGACATT